TATTGTTTGAGGAAACGCAATATCTTTATGATAGTAATCCATGCTATCAAGATATCTCAAATGTCGCTGACTGTAATCACTATATATATGAAATAACATCTGATAAAGCATAATACAGCTTTATTACCAAAAGAGGAAGTGAAACTACAGCATGTCAATCACATGCGAATTTTCAGTTAAATTAATAAAGGTTTGATCTCGAGAATTTTTTATTTTTAGCTATCGCAAAAAGCGTAATGCACAAATTACAGATCCTGAAAGAACGATGAAATTATAATAAATAATTTCGTGCTCGGTAATATTTCTCATACATAAATTTAATTCTTATATCGCTTTACATAAGAATATCATTCTTTCCTTCGTTCGATAAGATGTTTCCACGTGTCAAGACTAAGACTTTCTAGGCGATCACCGGCGCGTAAATTTCTCACAATTTGTTTCTGTTGAAAGTTATACGATAATTAAAAAAAGAATAAAAAAGTGAATGCATGTGTACGAAAGACTTTCTTACTAATTTTCCAGGTAGAATTTTCCTTACCCTTTTAATTGAGTTAAAATATAAAAGAATTACTTTACAAAGATTTAATTTATGCATCTTATTGCAAAAGATATTATTTTATTGAAAAGCTTATACATTTAATTAAAGACTCCTTTATATAGCTGAGATTAAAGTTATAATGAATTAATCGTTCCTTATTTTCATATTTATTTCATATATTGTATATATTTCAGCTATTGAATTCCACAGCTGTATATTAATAACTACATTTACACATTCAGAAATTTATAATTACAAGTTAATATGTTTTCTTTTCATTTTAACTGTACACATTTTGGTCCGCTGTAATTAAGTATTCGGAGCGTGTAATATTCCAAGTAAACCAGATTTCATAAAAGCAGCTGATTAAATTTAATAACGCGCAAAACTACATGAAATAACTACACTTAACTTGGATTTAATGTAAGAATGGACTAAATTTGTAGAAGATTTTTGAAAGATCATACCGAAAGTAAACTTTCTCACTCTATTTATTAATTGAACAGGATATTGTAGTAGACTGTGGCGATAAAGTTCACACAATGATTTATGATTCCGGTTTTTTCTTCCCTTAAATCCTTCGATTTATTATCTTAGGGATTCGCACGAGTCCCACTGAGCAATTACTCAGATACTAACGGCATCATTTCTTGGAAAGGCTGAGATAAATTGAATGGTCAATCCGGCTGTATTATGAAATATCCGCACCTACCCTCGGGAATTTCCCTGGGTGCTCGTCAGTCGCACATCTCCAGAGAATAAATCTGAGAGAGAGAATCAGATTCGATTTGCAAGTCTAGAGAAACTCAAAAAAGCTCAAGATATTGTCACAAAAAAAAAAGAACTGCAACTACAATGTCGGTTTGGTTCCTCGGTCACGCCACTTATTAATTGAATAGGATCTTATGGTAGACTGTGGCGGCACAGAAAACTTCACCACCGCATCATACTGTAATCAGTGGAAGAAGGGAGGCGGATGGCTAGGTGGTGGTAAATTTCTTGCCTCTTCCATCTACGTACCAACCTACTGTCGAGCGATGCACATCGTCATGCGGACATCGTCTGCGTGGAGAGAGGCGTACTAATTGTCGGACATTGCCTGTTCGCTTAAGGAACATTCAATTAATACGGCACCGAATTCCCATCTGAGAAGTTACGGCTGCCAATTGCTACTGATTACTTCTACGGCGATTGCACATTAGAATGATTGAGGAATCTTTCTATCGCTATATATATATATATAAAAAAACACACACACACACACACACACACACACACACACACACACACACACACACACACACACACACACACACACACGATAAACACGACAACATATTGTATACATTTTTATATAACAAATATTATTTTAACAAATATTATTGTAACATCGCAACACGTTTAAAATATAATGAGATTAATATAAAAAGATAAAATTTTTTTTTTCTTTGTTTAAAAAAATAAACTATTTAAAATATAAAATATTTGTATCGCGGATAAAAATGTTGTTTTATTAAGGAAATATTGACTAAAAACATTATTCTCAAATACCATATATTATAAACGTCTCATCATTTACAGTAGATTTATTTGATCTAAAGCGATAAATCCTTTTGCATATCTATCCATTATAAACGTCGATTTCGTACATTATCTCATTTTATTACCGTGTCAAATATGAAAAATTCGCATGTCTATCATAACTCTAAATTGAAATATATAATATTCATATATCATTTTCCCGTCAAAAATGTTTTTCCTATGTAACATTTTTTTTTATTTTGTAAATATTAGGTGTGGGAAAAAGTTCGTGGCGTTTTTTTAATGCCATCTAATGGGAAAAACGCCACGAACTTTTTCCCACACCTAATATATTGGATTATAGATTATTTTTCAAAATTTATTTGTTTATTTTGTCAAATAATGTTTTTATTTTCTTTCATGTATCTCTCATTTCATGTATTTGTATCCTTCGCAGTTTCTTAATATTTCAAGATGGTTACAGTTCTTAATTAAGTTCTCTTTAATTTTATTTTTTATTACTTTATTGAATTAACGACTTTAACAAATTTAAACTTGAGGAACCTTTAAAAACAATTTTTGCATCAAAAGATGCATTTTCATCGTTAGCGCAGGCGGATTAACGCTCGGTTCCGTTCTGCTTACAACGGCAAAGATCCGCAGTTCGTCCCATTCCGTTCTCCACACTCTAATACCTTCCTCATATCAACGGCTCGTAACCAGGTTAATACAATCCAGCTCTCGATTGCGTGATTATCACGCGAACAAAGTCGCGGAAATGATACACTTTGTCGACCCCCGCAAATATTTTTTTTTCTAGTTTAAAAATGCACTGTGTAATATTTCTAAGAATATTTACGAATTAAGGACATTACCAAAATGAAAAAAAACAAGTTTAAAATTTTTAGAGTTACCATTTTGAAAATTCATACATTCATGAAAAAAACTTATTTAGCTGGGAAAATCTTAGGAAATCTGCCAAAAAATATAATAGGTTTGTTTGAACGTTTTGCAAAAACTCATTTTGTTTCTAATGAACGATGATAGATTTCAATGAGTGTATTTACATTTAACATATTGGACCATTAAATATTGTAAAAATATACTATCTGAATACCTATCATGAAGCATGTTGGAATGAATTCCGATCAGAATTATTCCGGTTTCTCAGAAAATACAATAGAAATCTAGGAAATAATTGAATAATTCAGATCGGAATTCATATCGACTTTTTTCATGATAGGTGGAAGATTCATAAATATAAGGGTGATCATCTAAAACCAAGTAATGAAATATACTGAAAATTCAACCCGGTAAGTAAAAATGTTTCAGACAAAAATTGTATGACTTAAAGAGGGACATATAACGATTCCATAGTTGTTTAAGTTTATTAAATCGATTTTAGCATATAGAGAATTTGTTACACTATTTTATGTTGGCAATAATTGGGAGATTATTCTTATCAAATTAAAAATTTTATCTTCTCTATAATTACATTTGCAATATTGCTCGTCAATTATTAAGATCAATTAGTTTAAAAAAAAATAGGACTATTTATCAAAAGACTGTTTACCACAATTTGATTTATTATAACTGAAAATATTTTCTAGACTTATTTCGTAGATACACGGGATACGTACATATCTATAATATAAAGCAAGTATCTAGTGTGTAACTAATGTTAACGCATATTCTTATAATTGCGCATTTCGCACATTTCTGTTACCTTACCGGAACATTATGTTCCGTTCTAACTACTTTGTTTTTAATTATTACATAAAATTAATAATTATAATATTTTATTTAATCAAATTGCCAAAAATAAATTGATTCAAATATTAATTAACCAATATTTTAACAATTTAAGTCGATACTATTTATAAGTAAAAATAATTCTGTGTAAGAATGTTGGTTTGCACGGTAGTTTGATTCTGTTGAGTGGAAAAGTAGGCTTAAGTATACGTAGTGCGGAATTTCAAACTAGAACATTTCTTATCCGAACTTTTGACAATGAATATCCGCGAAATATCCGCGAAGTGATGCACGCACGCATCTTTCTCTTATATGTAAATCCAAATCGTATTCGTTTTCGCCAAGTCGAAGTCCACGTGATACATGCAATCAAATAGGAATTTAGAAAATAGGAATGGAATAGTTATCAACACCAAAGATTTAAAAAGTAGTTAACACGGAAAATCTGAGGAAGAAAAAAATGAATAGGAGAAAGCAAGAATATATGTTATAAACAAATATTTGCTCAAAATTTCATAATCACATTTACGCGAAGTTCGCTAATTACACGAAAATTCATTATGGTGAAAACGTAATTAATTATACAGAAAGAATGATTTTACTGAATATTTAAAAATTTAGATACATACATATAATGAAAATAATTTTATTAATTAAAATAACGTAAAACGCTTAAACATAATGAACAATGTTACAAAGTTTTGACAATCAGTTTGAGTGCTCTACATTAATATTTAGAATAAAATTATTTTCGGATCTGTATTTAATTAAATGTTTAGATATTTTAGTACAAAACCATTCTGTGTACTCATTCATAATTCATAAAGTCATTAATTACGGGAATTAAACCTATTTGATTAAAATGCAGAACATGCTCTGAGGGAACTCTATGTACAAAGTGTTATATCAACATATAGGTCAGTATATTGGATATTGCCTTCTCTATCAGGCATGCGTGGTCAATCGATTACATTCATAAAATATACATTACATTTATGATCGATCAACATATGTTGATATAATTCTGTATATCTGTGCCTTTACGCAAAGCAAATATGTACATGAATACATATGAATACATACATGAATACATATTAACGCAGGTTCGGATGTCATTGTGGCATATTACCGAGGACTTCCCAGAATCACGGTGCCTCTTCCATCTAGGAGGGAACACTGCTCGTTCACCATGAAGCCAATAACGCACACGGTCGGCAATTTTTTAGATATGCTAAAGACAGAGGATCGTGGCATCGATCGAGCATGCATAACATCGCTAGGTAAGACGCCATATAAATCATTTTTTCAGCTAACTCATTCATTACGTCAGAGAAATTGGAAATCAGATTACAATCCTTGCATAATACTGCAAGATAAAGGTCTTAATCGTATTTTCAGATGGGGTCAGAATAGCTTCCAGCAACACGATAGAATCGCTTTTAGAGGAGGATTTCAAATTATTAATAAACGATAACGAATACATTGTCTCGCCGCCGTTACGAGAAAGGTGCACAACAGTAAGTTATCAAATAAAAACGATCTTTTATTAGCTATTTATTTATTAGCTGTTTCTATAATACGATCCTGCGAAGCGCGTAGTTGCGACTTTAATGTACTTTAATTTAATTTATTCGTGCATCAATTGTAATGTACTTGATCGACTAAAAGCTTTAGTGATATTTCTTCAAGTGTAATATATTTTATCGGTAATATATTTTGAATCACGAGATTTCCCTTGTCGAACCGTATTCCGCAAGTATCGACATGTATGTCTTCCGGTTTCACAGGAGGATTTACAGAAACTCGGAGACGTACAAGCGCTCGTTGCGCAGTTGTACGAGGCATTCCACGTGCGGGAATACCATGTCGACATGGAAAGATCTGTTATCGCCGAGCTGGAGAATATTAGACTACAGCTGGAACCCATGGAACAGGTAAAAATATATTTCTACAGTTCGTCCTATGTACCGTTAAATAGGGTAACTTTTGCCTTAAATTATAGTTTGATTCAAATTTTAATCATACCTACATGACACACATGTCAAAATCAGGACATAAAACCTCTTCAAAATATCTTGTAGATCTCTTATATCCTAATTTTAGATATGTGTGTTGTTACCTAAGCATTTTTTAAAATCAAAGTTATTTTGAATTCTGAGTCGAAATTACTCCATTTTATGATGTATGGATTAAGCAGCATACGCATCCATATACTAAAAGAAGAACGGTATTTAGGATAAAATTGATTTAATATAGTAATTTTAAATAAGGCGCATCAATGAATTGGCTTTCTATCGCGCGTAAATTAAATTTAAATGCGAATACGCTCCCATTGTCCATTTTCTCTCACTGCATTCCGCCTATGTTTTTTCTTAACTGCCATATTCTTGAGCGTTCTAATTAGCACACTCGTGTCGCACTTTGCACACGCGACCAACGATACTTTTATAATCCCTTTTATACGCATCGCGCTCATTGTTACGTAACATTGTAAGAAGAAAACGTCTGCGAAATATTTCCCATGCCTTTTTTTCCCTCCTTATGAAATAATGAGGTAGGGTAAAAGGTGCCGTTTCTTCCACGGTACTTCCAAGTATTCCTTCATCTCCGGCCTCATTTTCTCAATTACTTAGAGAATATGATAGAAGCTAAATTATCTTCACTGAGAGAAAAATACAAGGTGAATGATGAGCGGGGGGTTTTGACATTCTCTTAATCATTCTAGAAATTGCAAGAGATACAAAATGCCGCTTACAAGAAGGCGAATTTTTTTATCTGGACGTTCCTAGTCATGATGTCTATCCAATTTGGGGCGTTGGCCAGATTAACCTGGTGGGAATACTCATGGGATATAATGGAGCCCGTCACTTACTTCGTCACTTATGGCACTACTATGATGTGGTTTATTTATTACCTCGTGACTCGACAGGTTGGTTTTAAAGAATAAAAAGTATCTATAAGCTGAACCCATAACAGAACGTTGCAAATCGTCAGAAATGGATTATATGATGCAAAATGTCGCAGGACGTAACACGATACGATCAATCATGATTTTTCTTCATGTATCTTCACTTAGGAATACATGCTGCCGGACGTGTTGAATAGACGCCACCTAATAGTGCTTCACAGAAGAGCGCGAAAGATCGGTCTTGACATTGACGTATACAATGCGTTGAAGAATCGCGCGTACGAGTTGGAGACCACGTTGAAAATTATTCGCGGCCCTTTATACGATTACAAGACGCAACGGAAGCGACAGCAACGCTCCAGATCAAGCTCCAGTAGCTCAAGATCACCAAGTTCCTCACCTAGCCTCAGTCCTAGCCCCAGTCCTAGCCCCGAAAAAGACGTTCCTAAAGTTATATCCGAATCAGACATCCCCGAAGAAATACGCCGAAGAATATAAAATTTAATCACAAGGTGTTCAACGATGACGCGTGCGACGGAGTTGAAATGTAACGGAATCAACGATTACCGATCGCTTAAATCGATATTATCTTCTTCCAATGAAGTACACTTAAAAAAAAGACTTCCCTTTGTTGAGTATGAAAGCGATGCACTCAGGGTAATTTTCAAATCCGCAAAATCGGATGCTAAACGATCGGAATTGCGAGACTGAAATGGAGATGTAATTTATTTTTGTGTTTGTGTATGTTTACGTGAAGAAAACCTCAACCGCAATGATATCTCAGATCTCGAGTCAGTCTTCCAGGTATAGTATCGGCGGCAACCAACTTTCGTCACGCGCAATGTATTTCATAGGCGTTAAAGTGTCACGGATTATCGAATGCTCAATGCTGTCGACATGTTTGGAAGACATTAGAGAAATGTATATAAAAGAAAAAGAGAGTATAATTAAGCGTCATAAATTTCCTTAATAATCACTAAATGAATATCTTTCAGTCTTCACCTAATATTCCGAGAAGTGATGCATTTCACAAAGATTTTATAAAAGTTTTGTAAAAAATATAATTTTAAAAAATACGTTTTATTTATGATAAATTATCAAAATGGCATTAAACGTTTTACATGACGCTCTTTTCGAAAGTGTTCCTGGGAAACGTAATTGTTAAAGCATTTATGGTGCTTAGGTGTGCGTGTAAACTATTTTGATTAACTTTTTGTTGGATTGTTAATGTAATTGGAAAGTTACATCTTGAGAAATATAAATGGATTATTGTAGATTATCTTATCACTTTACCTAATTTTAATACTAATTCAACTATTATCTCTTATGCTCGATTGAATTATTTATATATATATATATATTAGGTGTAGTAAAAAGAAATCCATTATTTTTCCATTCAATTTCATGCAAAAATAATAGATTTCTTTTTACTATACCTAATATATATATATGTGTGTGTGTGTGTGTGTATATATATGTGTGT